TCGCTAAGCACTCTAAGTGTATCTGACAGAAGAAAGAATCCGATCGGCAGCGAGCGTGTTAATGTCAACGACCTCACAGCAGAAAAACCACTCCTTGTTCTAAAAATGGCGAACCGCCCAAATCGATTCCCGATCTGAATCTCAAAGCAGCCTGTCACGTAACGGAATCGCGATAATTTCCCTGAAATTCCGAAGAATGTCGAGCCTGGCCATTCTTGCACGCGGCGTTCCATCGAGGCGAGTCGAACAGCTCGTTGAAATCGATTTCCTGCTACCATTTTCGTTGCAAACCGCCTCGATTCGCCGCGAATCGTCAATTACTTCCGTCAGGTAGGTGAGATCCGGAAGAAAGGAACGCCGAAGAGCATCGCGTAATCCCCTGTGCCTATACACAAGGGTGGATTAAACGAATTCAACGACTTGCATCATCGACAGTCTTTTTCTTCCCTCTCTTCTTTCCTTTTCGTTCGTTACGAGATATCTTCAGGGACTTATCTTACGAGACTCGCGGTCGCCAGAATCGCCAGTATTCACACGCGGTGTTGGCTAGAGCCGATCGCTTAGCTAATGTAATTATAAATATTTATATTGTTTTCACGAGAAGGCGCCTCCGTCTTTGACACGAGCTAGCGAAAGCAGCCTACGGCTTCACGGTCTGCATATATGGCCGAGAGTAAGAACTTTTACTCACGGCCGCGTGTCTAGGCTGCACGACAATTGTATTTGCGTATGCGCGTGCAAACGCGTTTAGAAAGCACTTTTTCTCGACCATGATGGCGGGACACGATAACACCAACGCATCGCGCAATTACGTGGCATCGTTCATGTGTGTGGTGTAAAATCGGTTGGAAGTTAGAGCAGGTATTTTTCGAGTGTCGAGACAATGGAATTGACAGAGGTGTGAGAAGTTACACTTCCAATCCATGATTTTTTCTGACTATGCATCTAAGCGTCAGCTACGATATAACGAGATTTGTGAAATCAGTCAAAAGTTAGAGCAGGTATTTTTCGGGTGTCGAGACAATGGAATTGACAGAGGTGTGAGAAGTTAAGTTTCCAATCCATGATTTTTTCTGACTATGCATCCAAGCTTCGGCCATTTACTGTTACAGATTTGCTATATGTGGTAATCCTCAGTGTTACAAATTCAAACGAAAGTTAGGATTATAATGAATTGTTCTTGCTAATATAACTATTTTCGTCACATCTTGATCAGAATCTCTGCGACGTTGTTGTGAGTTGAAGGGTTAACAGTAGAACAGTCAGACCCGTCGAATTTCAGATTTCTTGCTTTACATTCGAGAAATTATTAAGATGACTTTGTCTAAGTGAACGGTGACTTTTGTTTAGATAAAGAAATAATTCTCTATGCTAATTTATTTTTTATTAATTGGTCTAGCTTCGAACACTCTTTATATAGAATACTTGAATATGTCGAGAGGGAAAAAATATAAGTACCGCACTCATCTTTGGTAGTTTTAGTGTTAAGGACTTGAAACTTTGGACGAGAAATGTTTGAAACTCGCTAACAATAAGAAACACAGCTTTTCGGTTCAAGTGAGATTTATGAAACATTGATATAGTTAATCAGACGCAAGGGAAAACTCTGAATAACTCGAGATTTTCTATTTGTAAATGAAATACTGTTAGTATTTACTTGCAATGCTCTATTAAATTATAACGAGACGATTATAATTAAGTAATTGAAATACAGAAATTTTCTTAAAATTTTGGGTGCTGATAGTTTCTTCGTCGATTGAATTTTCTATCAGAATTTGTATGCTCTTTTTCCTTTATCGCGTTATACTTAAGTGCAGCGATACCAATCAGTCCTGCAGTTTGAGGATTTAATTTACTATCTCGCTGCATCGTGGCAATTACTATACCAGCTTCGTTACAGTGTTTTAATTAGATCGCGATCATTGTTGGCAGGTGTTCGCAGATTTATGATACGCTATGCTTGAGGGAGATAATGAGGCCAGGCTGCGAGAAAAAGATTCAGCCGCTTCGAAGAAGACGTGAAATTGAGAAACCATCTTTCCGAGAGAATCTGCTACTTCGTAGATTTATGGGATATTGTTCTTCTAACGGAGATGGAAAAGGTTGATAAGATTAAAGAAATGCTTCTGTTGGTTTGTAATTTAAAATTGATGGTACGATGACAGATTTCTGTCAACGAAAAAGAATATTCTTCGACTCAATGCTTGTGAAAAATATGCGCGAAAGAAGAATAAAAAGTTAAGAATTCAACTCTGTCGAGAATTCTAGTAAAAGTTGTAATTCTCCCGAGGTATAGAATTAATTAGGTAACAATGGAAGCGATATGAAAGTGTCTTTAGAAGAATCCTGTTGTTTCACGTATTCACGATTAATTTTTAGCAAAAGAAATGAATGAATACGATTGAGGAAATATTACTAACTAAATAGATTTTTAGGGTAAACAAAGTGTCTCGATATAAAATTTAAATGCGATTGAGGAAGTATTACCGACTAAATAGACTTTTGAGATGAACAAAGTGTCGATATAAGATTGACTGAATTTTGTCATTTTTAACATTCACGAAGCATTGTTTCTAAAGTAGTAAAAATTATAGGCATCTGACTTCGAAATAAGAAGAATCGATTACACTCCTTTCGTCTGGTAAACAAGATAAGCTACCTGATCTATAAGGTGAGACCAAAAAAGGAGGAAAATTCTGAAAGACTTTTGCAGTGTCACATACTCGAACGCAAAAAAAAAAAAAAATACGACCAATGTATAAGGAACATGAAATTGATAAAAACTTGTGACAAGTCGGTTTTTTTCATAAGAGAAATTGTAGAAGGAAGCAGAAAGAGGTGCGTGCTCGTGTCTTCCGGCTCTTAAGAGTAGAACGTGGATTCGCTGGCTCTAATACGTCAAAAGAATGCGACTTTTCGTTTCGCTCTACTTTCTTCAGGTTAATAGACAGAGACATAAATTTCAAACAAGATGTCGAATACTCAGCTTAAAGGAAACTTCTGGCCACTTTGATTCGTACGAAATTTTTTTCTAAATTATTTTGCATTTCACACTACTAAGTACATATATGAAGATATATCAAACTTGTTCTTTTTTAAACATTCATAACTTCATTGAACGTTAAACTTATACATGGAAAGAAATCTAAATTAACAAAGTTTCCAATTCTCTATAAAAAAAATTCTAAATTAACAAAGATTGCAATTCTCTATAAAAAAAATTCCAAATTAACAAAGTTTCCAATTCCTTGTAGAAAGAATTCTAAATTAACAAAGTTTCCAATTCCTTGTAGAAAGAATTCTAAATTAACAAAGATTGCAATTCTCTATAAAAAAAATTCCAAATTAACAAAGTTTCCAATTCCTTGTAGAAAGAATTCTAAATTAACAAAGATTGCAATTCTCAATAAAAAAAATTCTAAATTAACAAAGCTTCCAATTTTCTCGATCATTATTATAGAATTAATAGTAATACACAAAAATTCTGAAAGCAAAATACAGTCGTAACACCGTTACTTACCTAATCTTACCAACCTAATTAGTTTGATCTGTAACAAGTGCCAATAAAACATGATTCGCTCTGGTGAATCTTCTTAGAAATGATTTATTACAGTCTCTAAACAGTGATCGTTTCAAAGAGCCCAGTTAACAAGCTTATTAACAAAAATCCTCAGATCGATCAGGATTCCACCAAGAAGCAATCCTCTCAGAAATGAATCCTTGCAGTCTAAAGTTTAGACGTTTCAAAGAACACAGTTAACAAGCTTATTAACAAAAATCCTCAAACCGATCAGTATTCGATCTTCTTGCAAAAGAATCTTTTCACTCTACAATTCAAACCCTAAAAATTGATCGTTTCAAAGAGCCCACTTAACAAGTTAATTAACAAAAGTCCTCAGATCGATGAGTATTCAATCTTCTTAAAAACGAATCGCCGCAGTATAAAGTTCAAACCCAGAAATTCACCTTCAAAGAGCCAAATCTAAGCCAAATATCCCAATTAGCAAGTTCATCATGAAAATCCTCGGAACGATCATTGGGCGATCCTCTCAAAAACGAATCCTTAGAATCTCCAAACTTCGCTCGTTTCGAAGATCCCACTTAACAGCTTAATTATGAAAAAATCTCAGATCGATCAGGATTCTCTAACAGGCACGCGCGTCTCGTGTACGCGTATATGCAGTTAGAAGGACGGTCGATCAAGTCGTTCCGAGTGCATTGGTTCCGTCTCGGGTGGCGTAGCTTCCGATCACGTGGCCACCAAACAAACCACGCGGAAAGTGTTTGTGACGTAAGCTTGCGAAACGAGCTACAGGTAACTAGCGTTCCTTTTCGACTTTGGCCAAATTCCAGGACGAACTTTCAGTCGTGTGCCACGGCTGGAATTCAAAGCGACGTACCTTTTCTTTCACGCTACCTTACGGTCCTCTTCCCTCTAGCCACGCTTGCAACCACACGCGGCCCGGTTCTTCTTCCTCACGTATTCAAATTATCATCGCCTTATGGACATCGATTTTCTATGCACGGAACCCCGGGCAGGCGCCCGATAAGAAGTTGCTCTAGAATAAAATATGTAACACCTGCATTGAATCGAGAAATACATGTGTGTAACATCGAGCGGACTAATTCGGTACGAGCCCTGTCAGCTGGAACGGTATTTCGTACGAGCATTCTAATGCCACGTTCTCTCCTTCGCAGCAATGAGTGGACTATTTTCTTTTTCTTTTCTTTTTCTGTGTGGGGAGATTAAACGAAATTAGAGTGGGGTGATTTTAGCGTGACTTGTAGCAGTGATATATGGAGATTTTGTTGATAAATGAGAGTGGAATTGCGAGTGGAGATTGAAGTGTGTGGGTGGTGAAGTTGAGGTTGAATTTTTTGGGCGCATTTGTAAGCGAATTTTTGCGGACTTTGTGTTTATAATTGAGATAGGGGGATTTTGGGAAATTAGATTGGAGATTTGGGCAAATGAAGCTTTTTTTTAAATGAAAATTGATACGTATAGATATAGGTTGAGTTGACTGGGGGGGAATTTGTAGGCTACGAATTTTCGTAGACTTTGTACAATTGAGATACAGAGATTTTGTTGATAAAAACAATTGGAATTTCAGTTGGATGTTGAAGTACATAGATAAAATTGAGATTGAACTTATTAGAAAAATTTATACGCCAACTTTCCGAGACTTTATATCTACAATTGAGATACGGAGATTTTGTGAATGAAGATTTGGGTAAATGGAGTTTTTTGCCTGGAATTCATATTGGGAATTGAAAATTAAAATATATAGATATAGGTTGAGTTGACTGGAGGCATGTTTTAGGCTACGAACTTTCGTAGACTTTGTACAATTGAGATACAGAGGCGTTATTCATAAAAAAAACGATTAGAATTTAAATTGAAAATTGAAGCATACGAATAAACTTGAGGTTAAATTTACTGGTAGCACTCATCCACAAATTTCGGAAATACTTTGGAAGTGACGTGGTGTAGAGTAATTACTCGGGCAAGTTGTTTAATAAAAATATATTTATTCGAGTCCGATAACGCTTAACCTAATTTTGAAGTGTAGGCGACGCGAGTCTGCGACAAAAAGCCCCCTTGCTTTTTTTGGGGCTCCCTGGGAAAGTCCCAGGAAGTGGGGGCGCGGGCCTGCATTGCCGAGGCAATACTCTTGTCCTCGAGGACGGAGAAAATCGGGGATGTTTGGAAAAACGTCTCTCGATTCTTCGCCTCGAGGGCCAAGAGTCGCCAGGCCTAAGTGCGTGGCCCCCCGTGGCGGTCGCCACAATACGAAGATTTTATCGATAAACTAGATTAAAAATTTGGGTAAACGAAGGGATCGTCTAATTCCCAATAGTTCAGACACAAATTACACCCAAAATCGATATTTCACGCACAGAAAAATATCACACCTGTGAAAAGTGATAAAACTCAGGAAAGCGAACAACATCGATGCTTTTATTAATGAAACGAACAGAAGCGTGTCGTGGTTTTTCTAACGACCGCCGGCAGAATTCCGTTTCACCGTTCTAAGTCAAGGTTACGTTTGGCTATTGTTCCAGGTACTCATCAGGAACACGACGCAGAAGGAGCTGCAAACTATAGCGACGTACTACTTCGACGGTAAGGGAAAGGCGTTGCGGCCGATGGTAGCATTTCTCATGGCACGGGCTATCAATTATCACAAGGAAAGAAAGTGAGTTGTGAGAGGCACGCCTGTGCGGATTCTTTCAAGTCCACCGTCAATAAACATCGAATGCCTTCTGGCAGTTATTCCATTATTCCCGTGTTCGAAATGCACCCCTTCGTTCCGGGCAAGAATGTCTCTTGATCGCTTCGTACTGGTTCGATTAATTCCCGGTGAAAGAGTTGGAGATAAGAGAACCATTAACGGAGCGTTCTTAATTAAATTCTTATTCGTATTGCAATTAATTGCGGTATTTTTTTATGTAGCTGTGATTGGTAGATCACGTTGTTAGGTTTCAGTGTCGATAGATAGAGAAATGCTTCGTGTTGTAATAAAATTAGTAGGAGATAAGGGTGTTTAGAGAGAATGATTTAATGTTTGAAGGAAGGGAAAGGGAAAAGTTTTAAGAAATATATCGATACCGCGTAGGAAATTGTTAAAAATGATAAAAGCTCCGATACTGAAGTTTTGTAGAAGCCTGCGTATTATATTCTGCAAAGTGTAATTCATAATTTTGAATTTTTTTTTCACAAATGTTTCCAATTAATAGAAAAATATACATTACGATAGAATAACGTTTTCAGTTACCAAACCGTGAAGATGATGATTTAAAACGACAAAAGCGCCGATATTGAAATTTCGAGGAAGAATTCGATTTTTTCTTTAATTCTTTTCAAACTCAAATTTACTAAAAAATGAGATAAATAGTGGATAGAAAAATATACATTACGATGGAATAACGTTTTCAGTTACCAAACCGTGAAGAAAATGATTAATATTGCCAAAAGCGCTGATACTGAAATTTCGAGAAAGAATTTGATTTTTTTTAATTCTGTTCAAACTCAAATTTACTAAAAAATGAGATAAACAGTGGATCGAAAAGTATACTTTACGATAGAATAACGTTTTCAGTTACCAAACCGTGAAGATGATGATTTAAAACGACAAAAGCGCCGATATTGAAATTTCGAGGAAGAATTCGATTTTTTCTTTAATTCTTTTCAAACTCAAATTTACTAAAAAATGAGATAAATAGTGGATAGAAAAATATACATTACGATGGAATAACGTTTTCAGTTACCAAACCGTGAAGAAAATGATTAATATTGCCAAAAGCGCTGATACTGAAATTTCGAGAAAGAATTTGATTTTTTTTAATTCTGTTCAAACTCAAATTTACTAAAAAATGAGATAAACAGTGGATCGAAAAGTATACTTTACGATAGAATAACGTTTTCAGTTACCAAACCGTGAAGATGATGATTTAAAACGACAAAAGCGCCGATATTGAAATTTCGAGGAAGAATTCGATTTTTTCTTTAATTCTTTTCAAACTCAAATTTACTAAAAAATGAGATAAATAGTGGATAGAAAAATATACATTACGATGGAATAACGTTTTCAGTTACCAAACCGTGAAGAAAATGATTAATATTGCCAAAAGCGCTGATACTGAAATTTCGAGAAAGAATTCGATTTTTTCTTTAATTCTGTTCAAACTCAAATTTACTAAAAAATGAGATAAACAGTGGATCGAAAAGTACGCATTACAATAGGACAACTGTGATAACATACAACTTTATTACAGAAGCGTGCTTTTTTCACTTACCGATCGCCGAGGCGCGAGAAAAAGTTAGCTTCTCCGAACGTTTAGAAAGCATGGAAAGAATGTGACTGGTCGGTCTTCTCTCTTTCTAATTCATAAATCGCTTTGAAAGTAATTACTTGTCGCCGTGTGGCGGACCAGCGGCGATGAATATGAATGAGATGTTCCGTGAATGAGAACTGGTGTAGCGTACGCTATCACATATGGAATTGTAAATACGTAGAGGGGAACGTGACGTCGCGATTTAACGCGTGTCAAAGTGATAAATCCTTCGAGTGATAAAAATCGTATTATGCAGAGTAGCGAATATCGCCTACGATCCCGTACTATCGATCTTTCTTCGTGCATGTAGTACATCTGTTCGCGCAAACAGACACGAGAGAATGCTGTTAATCAATTTTATCCAGCGTCTGCATCTGTACATTTAACGCTATCAATTTTAGGCTGGTGCATACGAAACGTGGGTTTCTCGAACGAAACTTTCTTCGAAAAATCGAAATAAATTATACGTACGTTAGGTATTGTTCGTATTTAAATGTTAATTTAATCAAAACTATGCAAAGATTAACTATAGTTTCGTTACTCTAAATTTATAAAAATTGTTAATTCATTGAATTAGAAAATTCTTCGTCTTCGTTTCGGAATAATTTATTCGTTAGAAAAATTGTTCGGGTGTTTGAAAAAATGGTAGACTACTGGAGAAAGGTTAATAATTCTTTGCCGTGGATTGTTTTCAATAATTTTTTGCTCGTTTTTGAATGAAAAGTCATCGATCCTGAATTTTGCACACTAACATTGAAATGTCTTAACATTTACACAACCTTCTTCAAATGGTAAATTTATATTTTCTCCAGTTTTTATCGCAGTGTTTCCAAGTTGGAATTCACGTAACTAAATTATGCGAATATCTTGATTATGCATCACGTCGTATAATAATGTCCAAACAGTTGTAATATGAATTTTTTTTACTGTTCAATACACGCGCACCATAGCAAATTCCTTCTTGACTATTGCATAGAAAAATTTATGATCGAACCAAAATTTAACGTGGTATCGCCAATTTCAGCTGTTGAAAACGACTTTTCAATTGCACCAACCTAATCTTTACGCTCTTCGAGTCACGAATCTTCTCTATTTTCTCTTTTCTTTTAAAAATAAATAACAATTGACAGTCTCCTTATCGCTAAAAATACGTGAAACAGCGCTCGTCGATACTGAAAATAACCGGAATCGACGAAAATTTCAGCGGTCTCTTGGCGTCGCAGCGAAGGGTGGCGATGATCGCCGAGATGATTCACAACGCTTCCTTGATCCACGACGACGTAATCGACCAGCCAGACTTCCGCCGTGGCAAGCCTTCGATCAATGTCGTCTGGAGTCAAAAAAAGGTAAGAGTTCTGCTCTACACTTAACCAAAGTCCGGAGCGAATCGTGTGAAATCTAAGAAGTTCGATGGCTTCGAAAAATCGCCTGACTCACCGAGAATCTGTAATTTTTTTGTCGAAACCGATGACTTAGCCAGACGGATCTTTCTTCGAAACCGGTACACCTTGAAAGAGGTACGCGATAAAGAATCACTACCTACCTCGAAACACAAAACCGGACGACCGTCGAACATCGTCCAATCCTTTCTTCCTCGTTCGATCCTTCCTTTTTTCTTAACATTTCAACGGAGAATGTCACTAGCCTCGAAATATCAAACCGCCGGGTTTCTATTCGATCGTTTGGACATCTTGGACACGTGGACGTTTCACACGATGCACAGTGAATTTCGATATCTTCTCGTCGATCGAGCCTCGCTAGTTCATCGATGAAAACTGAAACTCTCTCTCTGAAATACCGAGGAACGAGAGAGAGAGAGAGAGAGAGATAAGGAAGGAGAGGAAGGAGGCTAATGCGATTCACGAGTTGAGCTATGCTGTCTACTGACCGTGCACGCTTTCTTGGTCTGGAACCGGAAGTGGTCCGCCATCGTTTCGTCTGCGTACGATTCGAACGGCCACGGTTCGCGAGAGATTTCGAAAAGGAGAATCAACGTTGAATTACACCCGGTGCCTCTCTTCTCGATTGTACGGTGAAAATCGGTAGAGCGATTAACGGTTCGTTAGAACGAGCGGCACGAAATTAACTCGAAAGTCGATGATTTTCCCAATCAGATTTCTCGTAACGAGAGGTTTCAAAATTCTGCTGGTTTAACGCGTCGTTTCACACGGAGTGATTTGTCGCGTGGGTTCGACTTGGACAGATTTTTCGTTGAAAATGGGAGATGTAGTAACGCGATGAGATAACAGGAAGAATTCTGATGAAATGATTGATTTATGCGTGGACTAGTTAGTTGCTCGGATATGAATTATTTATCATTTCCCTTGACATTTTCGTTTTTGTCTTCGTGGATCCTTTTTTTGAGACTTTTTGGGAATGAAGTGAGAGTAATGCTACTTTTTTTGGCTTCATTGATGCAAGTGTAATACTTTAAATTGATGATTTGGTTCACAGCTTTTTGTCACGAAGAATTTATTTATCGTAAATTTTCATTATAATTAAAAATACTCCTCAATTAAAAGCTTGTGTCATTTAGGTTGTATGTAGCTATAGTTGTCCTAGTTTTTACACAGAAATTAGAAAAAGAAAGACTACAATTGTTGATAAAGATCGTAAACATAAATGAAAAGTGATGAAGATCATAAATATGTAAATAAAAAGTGATAAAGATCGAGTAAATTTTCATTACAATTCCAGATAAGCCTCGATTAAAAAAATAAATAAATACAAACTCTTCTTTATTTATTTAACAGGAAAAATTCCCAAAAGAAAATCTGTAATTTTTGATAAAGATCGACGATCATAGAAAAGTAGAAACAACTTATCGTACTCTTAATTGACGCGTATTTTCACTACCCTATACGTAACAGAAAGTGAATTTTCTTGCACCGACTTGGAATATACAAACAGCGAATTCACTTCAGCCAGTATCGAACGTTGTAAATCGCTGAATAATCAAGTTTGTGATCGATCGCTGTTGCAAAGATATCTACGTAGACACGTAAATTCGTGTCGAGATATAAAAATTCGAAATTAACCCCTTAACCTATGATTTCTTTTCTGACTATGCATCTAAGCGTCAGCCATTTTCTGTTTCAGTAGATACTATATCAGGTAACAAAAACTAATCTGTCACAGATTAATTACATTTACCAATCCCTTAGGCTTACAAATTCAAACGAAAATTAAGATTACAATGAATTTTTCTTATTAATGCAACTACTTTTGTCACATCTTCGCCAGAATCTCTGCCACGAGTCTGACGCGTTGTCATATGTTAAGGGGTCAAGTAACCCAACAAGATTATTCCTACGATTATTTGAAAATGGTTGTTGCGAACGTACTTCGATCGATTGTAAAAATGCAAAAAGTGAAGCGAAGATTGCCTAAAAGAGAACCACAGTACGTACATAATATCGAAGAGGGTTAACTTTCGCTATCGCGTTAAACTATGGTGGTTTCCTTACGAAACTCCGCGCATAGCTTCATAGCTTCATAGCTTCAGCGAAACTCGATGATTTAAAATTTCCAAGCACACACAGTCCTACGTGTGGCTGTAATATCGTATGTAATTATGAGTTGTTGCAAAATATGCGTGTGTATGTGAACGGAGAAAGGTTGCAAATAATTGGGAAGTTGGTCAGAAATGATTATTAGTATTTTTTTTTTTTTTAGTAGAACGTGATAAATTTCAGTAACTGCTTGGGCAATTTTGGACATTAGCTGTTGTAACACTTTGATTAACTAGTTCTCAGGATATGATTCAATTTTGACCGCGATAGGGATCGTTAGGTACCTCGTGGTTTCAGTAGTTTCGTTGGGTAAAACTTTAAGTGGAGTATGTTTACAAGTTTTAGTAAGGAGACAGTTGTTTATAACTCAATATTCGTGGCTAGTCTTTAGAAACTGTTTTGGTGCGTTCTACTTGTACAGTATTTATCTGGTTGGCTTTGTTTAATTTGTTTGAAAATTTGAAAAAGTGGAAACGTGAGTTTCTAATCGTTTATGATAAGGAAAATAATACCTTAGGAAGTAATAAAGTAATATTTTTCTCATATCTTAGAATATAATAAAATAATATTTTAGAAGGTAATACCTTGAAAATAATGAAACAATATTTTGGAAGGTAATATCTTGGAAAATGATATCTTAGAAAGTAATGAAATAATATTTTAGAAGATAATATCTGAGAAAATAATGAAATAATGTTTCAGAAGGCAATATCTCAGAAAATAATAAAATAATATCTATCGATAATATCTAAGCAGTATAAAAAAATAATATTCTTACCAAAATAATAACAATTTCAACAGAATTAAAACACTTCCTTTCGTATTACAAATAAACGGCTATTTTTAAATTTGTGAAAGTGAATTACAAAAGCAGTGCAACTTTTTTAACGAGCAGTTTGATCAAAAATTAAGCAATGTATTAAAAATTCACATAAACTGTACGATAAATCAACCATTCACATTGTGCCAAAAGTAATAATAAGATCAACACAATAACTTTCCATATTTGATATTTTAAACATGAAAAAAGAAAACACTCTTCCAGTTACTCGTAATATAGTAATCAAAATAATTGATTAGCAATAATCGAAAGTAGGGTGTTACGTTACAATAATTCGTGAACTGTTATATACATCTGATTGGGCAATGCTTAAATGATCCGTACAATCTATGGAAAAGATCAAGACATTGCCAATACACACGTTCACCTGATATATTCACATTTCGAAGGGTAACTTCTTTTTTTTTTTTTTCCTTCTTTTCATTTCACATTCGAGATTCGAAAGTAGGAAATCTTCAAACTATTCTGCACGGTGTATTTCAGCAAATCATTTTGCAGAATGTTCATCTTTAATACATTAAAGTGATTCTGGAATTCGTTTCTTTCCGAATAACCAGCACACCTGTTTCCTCCTAAAATTCTATTAACAAATAAAGGAAAGTTTGTCGAACGGAAGTTACACCGTGTTTTAGAATCCGCGCCTATTATAGTACGGTGATAATGCTTCTTCTTTTTCTCACGAATGACATCATCTCTGAGATATGGAGGTCGTTTTTACTTCTTTTTTTTTTTTTTTTACGGTGCATGACATATTTTCTCTCAGTCGCGTGATAAACATAGCGTACGATAATCTATGGATACAAAGTCGTTCAGGATCACAGGCTGATAATGATGAAAAAGTAATCCTTGAAGCTTAATATCGAATTAAATTTTATAACATACATACATTTGTATAATTCTCCTATTTGCAATGGTTAAGTTAATTACAATATTTAACACTTCTCTTTTACCGTTCTTTATTATATTTTATTTATATTTATTCCGTTCTTGTTGGATTCTGTTTTTCTCTTTTGCGTTTTAATTGAAATTCGAAAGGATTGAGATAGAGTGATAATCGTGAGGGATATTTTTTGCGATATTTAACAGTTATTTTTTACTGTATTTTATTTATAGTTATTCAATTCTCTTTAGATTCTATTTTTTGGGGATTTCAATTGAAATTCGAAAGGATTGAAATACAGTGGCAATTATAATGCAATATTTAACAGTCCTTTACTATTCTTCGCTATGTTTTATTTATAATTATTCCATTCCCTTTCGATTCAATTTTTTTTCTATTTCTATTGAAAATCGAAAGTATTGAAATACAGTATATTCTCCACAAGTGTCAGACCGCAAGGAAGCTAAACCTGACACTCCTAGAGTCAGGGACTACGTTTTCGAGCCTCGCGCCCGCCTTTGTAGTTTGCCGAACGTAGACAAGGACAGCGAAAAAAAGATAAGCATGAAACGTGAATCGAGGCAACCAAGCGATTTATATATCAACTTTTTTAATTTTACGTTTTTTTACCCCGAAATTTTTCTTAACATATTGATGAGATTTTTCTGA